CGGCTGGGTGGGGGCGTCCCGGGCTTGTGTTGCACCGTGGCTGCCGGGACGGCTGGGCGGGAGTCGTGAGGGCTCAGTCACCTCCGTCCTGGACTCACTCACAAGGTGAAGTTTGAGCTGGAAGCTGAACTCGGTAACGGGGAGACCCAGGACTTGTAAGGGGCTGGGGATAGTAGGTAAGGAAGGCGCTGGAGAGTTTGGGGCAGTGACATTCCATTGTATTGGAATCTGGGTGGCCCACAATGTGGTCTTGGGGGCTGGGGGAGGTGAGACGGGAAAGGGCGCGGGACCCCGTTTCTGACAGTAGGGGACCCGGGAGGGCTGGGCTATGAAAGAACCCCCGGGTGCGGGGCCGGGGAGGGGGCCTGGCGAGGTTCGAACGCCGAGCTGGGGCTGGGTGACATATGTTTGCAGCGGTGGCCAAGATGAAGCGATCTGTCTTCCACGCGTTCAAAGTTGCTTTTGGGTTCCCTCCCCTTTTAACAGCAGGAAGTAAGGAACCTCTCTTTGCTTTCTGTGCCTTGAGGGTGACTGAGAGTTGGGAAGAAATTGGGGGCTGGTGGTCAGTGAAGGCCATAAAGGTTGAAGACCGTGGCATGCTTCTCCATCTCGGCTTCATTTTGTTGCGCGGGGTTCAAGAGTTCAGCCTCTCTGCAGCATGACCAAAGGACGCTAAAGCGTTGGCTGCTGCTTGATATTTAAGCTCGCGGGAAACGTGTGGTAGTGCCACACTTTGAAACGGTCTATTTGAATAACTGGAAGGCGTGGTCTGGTGTGGAGGATTTGGGAGCCGGCTGTTTTAAAGCCACCTCTCTCGAACAATACTGAATCTGGTAGGTGCAGCTTCTGATTACAAGGACCAGGGAATCCTGGGTTGCTAATGACTTCATCCTCAGCCACCAACGGGAAGCTTCGTGGCTTTATGATCTCATCAGATTTCTGCTTTATTTTCTCGACAGAAGTGACTCCCTCCCCACTTTTTACATTAGTGTTCTGGGTTATCTTTGTTTTTATAAAGTTCCATGTTCATGATTTGGGAAGTAGTTGCCCAAGAGTATATAGTCTTTGTTTCCAGTATTGTATTTTAGGGCAATTGTGAAAGACTGAAGAAAAATTCTGTTTCAAGAAAAGTGAAATAAACCTTCGTAGAAAATTTAAGGCCCTTTGTTTAAAAGAGGTGTGATTGAATAACTTGATGTGCCAATTTGGAACCTAAATGATCAAATACTAAAATCTTTCAGAAATAGCTAAAATTTTACATTATGTATAAATAAGCCATCTTGAGTTTTTTGAAGCATTTGGCTCTTATGTTATTTTGGTGGCAATTATTATTTTCAGTAGCTTTTGCCTTCAGTATGATAATTTACAAATTAAAATTACTTTCTCTTCAATGACCAGTAATGATAGGTATTCGTGTAGCATTTTTTTTCTTTTCTTTCTTTTTTTTTTTTTTTTTTGCAATACTGGGGATTGAACCTAGGGCCTCACATGCTAGCCAAGTCTTATACCACAGAGCTGCATCCTGAGTCCTTGTGCCGCTCTGTGTGTGTGTGTGTGTGTGTGTGTGTGTGTGTGAGTGTGAGGGGCAGAGGGAGAGAGAAAGTGAGTTATGGGGCCATTGAACCTACCACTGAGCTCTATCCCCATCCTTTTTTTAGTTTTGAGTGGGGATCTTACTAAGTCACCCAGGCCTGCCTGGAACTTGCAGTCCTCCTGCATCAGCTTCTTATCTAGGATTAGAGGCATGTGCCTACTTTGTGCAGCAGTTTTTATGTTTTAAATAAAAAATGTTTTATGATGTAAATGAAACTGAAATGCCACCCATTTATTTCTGTTACTGCTTTTAGCAGAATGCTTTTGAGGCAAGAAACTAAAATCTCCTTGTTATATTTTCCAAATACTATTTTTTTAAGGGGTGCTGGGGATCGAACTCAGGACGTTGTGCTTGTGAGGCAAACAGTGTAACCAGAGCCAAACCCCTGGCCCCTCCAAATACTATTTATCAAAATACTGTAATACAGAATGAATTCTGAAACATATTTGAAAATAGTTAAGTAGATTCATTTGGAACACGTCATCTGAGCTATGTTTTCTATTTATTGGAAGTTACTGCTTTTAAATGCTAACACCATTCCCTGTTTAAAAATGGTTTTGAAGGTCGGGGTCAGTTAAATTATAGCATAGAAAATGCAGGCTCCCTCCCCCACAAACCTGCTTTGTTAACATCTTGTGTTAGGATCAGGCCATCTGTACAGGGCTGCATACACTTCTTAATTGTACCTCATTTTATTCTTCAAACTGTGCAAACATCATCTTTGATTTCAGTTACATCGAAAATGCCGTTTCTGGAGGTACATCTTGTAAGTATCTAAATATCCTATATTTCAGAAGGTTAATCTTATTTTTGTAACAGTTTTAAGAGCTTTATCATAATTCATGCATCAGTTAAATGTTTTTGTTTCACTTTGTGGCAGTTTCTTCTGAAGGTGCAAATGAATACTAGCTGTGATGATGTAGTATGGATACTTATCCATAAAGAATTAGCCTGTCTGTCACCTTGTTTCCTGTAACTCATTCCGAAACTGACAGATGGTAATGACATTCAATTGTTACTTAGGTTGGATTTAACATCTTCCTTTATGTCTTTGCTTGGTCCTGAAATGTATCATTTTCATCACTTCATGGGAAAGCCCTTGGTGAACTGTTATTTCCTGGGTTTGAAACAATACTCTTTTGGGTGTAAAAGCTGAGTGAAATATTAGATAGTTCACTTACTTTAACAGTGGAAAAATAAAGAATGGGAAACTAGCATTTTTCCTTTAACAGGAATTACAGAAAGATTTCTAGCCCCAGAATATTTCTAAATACTTGCTGGGTATTTGGGAAGTTCGGGGATAGAAACCGTTACATAAGTCTCCGTATATTTATGCTCCTTTCAGTTATAGGAGCTGAATGAGCATGTCCTTTGCCAGTCACCATGCAGTTGCATGTACCCGTTAGGGAGCTGTTTTAAATGCTGTAAATACCTTTGCATGCTTTTGGAAATGAAATGGTCATTAGGAGCCTCTAGACCTGCCCCCTTCTCTATCAGATATATTGTGCAGAATAGGAACAGGCATACCGTTTCGCTGGGGTGATGATAGATGTTGTGTTATATTTGAATATGCACTAGGAAGTGACTGAATAGAAACACTTTATTTTTAGATTTGTTTCTTAAATTTCTATCTTAAAAGTCTGGGATTTTTTGCCACCTGTTTTTAGGATTCCTAATACATATCTTCTTCTGATCATAGTATGAATGTATGGTGAGTGTTCTGGAGCTCATCCAAAAAGTCAAAACAGCTTCTCTTAAAAATGTTCATCTTCTGTGTGAAAGATATTTATTTAGATACATTTTAAATAAATTCAAATTTTTTCTGTTTTTATTTTTTGTGACAGGATCTTGCTATGTAGTTCAGGCTGGTCTTGAACTTATTATGTAGTGCACGCTGGCCTTGAACTTGTAGTGATTGTCCTGCCTCTGCTTCACGAGTGCTGGGATAACAATGTGCCATTGTGCCTAGCCTAAAAAAAAAATTTTAGGGGCTAGGAAGGTAGTTTTTTTTTTTTCTGTCTTTTTATTGAGTTAATTGGTACAATCTAGGTATACAATACAGTTACATTCATCATTGGGATCTTGTACCTTTACATAATAGGTCTTGATTCTCATTTTTTCCCCTTGTCCCTGCCCTCCCTCCCTCCCCATTTACAAACACTTTATTTCCATTTTTCAGATTCTTGTATTTTTTCCTCTCCCTTATTACCTTTCCCCCACCCTTCCCACTTTCCCTACACCTTCAGCCCTTTACTTCCTATTTCACATTATTAATTATCTCATTAGGATCCTGTGTACTATTATAGTTTTTCACACCAGAGAAACTATTCGGTATTTCAGTTAAAGACATTTCTGTATGAACATTAAAAATAGGGAATCCTAAAATAAAACTAAAAAGGAAAGTAAAAGAAAAAAGGCAATGATGTAAGATTAAAATAATCCTTAATTCTGAAGATGAAATGGTCCCTTAACATATTTAAATTGCTTCTTGCTCTTGTAGTCTTATCGTATTCTTTTTTCATTATTTAGTGAATACTTTTTAGTTTCTATAATCAAACCCACGTAGATATGACCTTACAAATTTAGTACAATGCGTTACCCCTGTACAAATGGAAAAATTAAAATTAAAATTAAAAAAATTAACACTTCTAGACCATATGGCTGTCCATTTCTGTACAATGTCAACTCAACACAGTAAATTGGGATAACTTTTTCCAAAGTTGACAGCACCGTTAAAGTTTCCCAAAATTCAATTTATATGTGTGTGTGTGTGTGTGCATATATATATATGTGTGTGTGTGT